GGGACGGGGCGGCTGGGAAGGCGCTGAGCCGGAATCCTCACCGGGTTCACTTCTCTTGACTCTTGCGACCTTGTATTTTTGCTCAGAAAATCCCCTTCCTCTCCCGGTCACCTTCGTGTTGGTGACGATTGTGTGTAACTGTGTTTGTTTGTGTTTGTGAGAGCCCAGTGTGTGTGAGGTGCAGCTTTGGAACCCCAGACTGGTTTGGGTTGGAGGGACCTTAGTGATCACCAGTCCCACCCCTGCACGGGCAGGGACACCTCCCACCAGCCCAGGCTGCTCCAAGCCCCATCCAACCTGCCCTTCAACACTGCCAGGGATGGGGCAGCCACAGCTTCCCTGGGCAACCTGGGCCAGGCTCTCACCACCCTCACACTCACCTCAGATTTTCGAGGTCTAGCCTGACCCAAACCCGGCCCCTGCACAGAGGTGCTGCTGGGGCAGAGGGAGGGGGTGTAGAGGGGACAGAGATGCTTTTCCTCCTGTTTCTGAGGCCGGCTGGTGTGTGTCCTGCAGGATCCCCGGGTCCTGGACAGGATGCTGCCCTACCTGACAGCCTACTATGGGAACCCCCACTCCAGGACCCCCGCCTACGGCGGGGAGAGCGAGGCTGCCATGGAGAGGGCAAGGCAGGTGAGCCCAGCCTGGCCCTGGACGGGGCTTCAGTGATGATAAAAGACATGTCAGTTACCAAAAGCAATGATCAAAGTGTTGTCCTGAGTCAGTCCTGCACGGGCTGGATTCAGCAGCTGCCTTTCTGCTCTGCCATACTTCCCTTGCAAGGAAAAACAGCAAGATGAGAGCAACTGAAACGGCAGGAATCAGTATTTTAGGCAAAAGTGCTCCGGGGTGTTTGGTTTCCTGAGGTCACAACTGTGCTGCTGCAGTAATTGGGCTAACTTCCTGTTTTATCATTCTCCAAATCTTAGGTGTGGGTCTTTGTTGTTGTTTTCTTGGAAGTGATCACAGAATCACATGTGGGGTTGGAAGGGACCTCTCAAGGTCACCCAGTCCAGCCCCCTGCACTGAGCAGGGACCATTTTACCTAGATCAGGCTGTTCAGAGCCCCATCAAGCCTCACCTTGAATGTCTCCAGGGGTGGGGCCTCCACCACCTCTGGGCAACCTGCTCCAGTGCTTCACCACCCTCATTGTAATGAACTTTTTCCTGATACCCAGTCTGAAAGTAATATGGACTAGAGTTTTGTCTACTCAACTTTTATGTTCTTTTATGACAGGCTAATGCTTGATACCACTGCTGGAGGCTGTGAGGTCCTTCTGCTGTCTGTATTAATGCAGATATTTAGACTATTGCACCTGTAGCATGACTTTGTTAGATACTGACTAGTCCTTTTGAGGCTTATGAGGATGTTCTTGAAAGCATTTTGCTTGTGTTTTGGTGTGGTGAATTCATTGCATTTTATCTTAACAAATCAAATCTGTATTTCTTTTTAAACAGCAAGTTGCAGATTTAATAGGAGCTGATTCAAGGGAAATTATATTTACCAGTGGTGCCACAGAGTCAAATAACATGGCAATTAAGGTAAAAGGTTTATACTGATGTTTATTATGTTACAGTGTTGCTCTGAAGAGCTGTGTGCATCCTTCCTGCAGTTTGAATGTTAATAATGATGGCCTAGTCAGCAAATATTTGCATTCCTGGATTTACTCCATGTGGTGTTCAGTTACATACCTGGAGGAAATACTGGGATGTTTTGGTGGCCAGGACATTGTTTTAAGGACAGAGTAGAATACTCACTGTTCATCTTAAATGCAGCAAACACAGTCCTGCTCCTCATGTCATTAAATCTTTACCATAAAATCTAGTGAAGATGCTGATTATAAGCTCTTCTCTGATCAAGATGTGGTAACATTTTAACCTCTAGTGAGGTTATTCAGACTTCTCATGTATGACTCCTTTGCAAATGTTTTTTAAAAAGCATTTCTCTTACTAGTGTCTAGAACTTGCAGCAGTCCAGATTTTCACAGGCTTTTTGAAAAGTGAGCTGTTTTGAAAAACGAGTGCTGATGGCAGCATCTGTGTGAGTTACAGCTCAGGACCTTCAGAGTCTTTACTTTGGGGCAAACAGGGAAGATCCAATTCAGTTATATCTAAAGAGAAATGTCTTGTTTCCAACCACTTTGTGTAAAGCTTGCCTTCCTCAGTGATCTAGTGGCAAACTTCTTGTTCATCTCTTGTGCCTGACAGGGTGTTGCAAGGTTCTACAAATCCAGGAAAAAGCACCTCATCACTACCCAAACTGAGCACAAGTGTGTGCTGGACTCGTGCCGTGCCTTGGAGGCAGAAGGTTTCCGGGTCACTTATCTACCTGTTAAAAAAAATGGGCTCATAGATTTGAAGGTGGGTTCTTTTCTGACAGAAAGTAAGTGAAAATAGTAGGCTTTTTAGAAGGTGTTTTTCTTCAGATAGATGCTGAACAGGACCTTGTGTCCTCTTGATGCTGAAGAGGGAAGGATGGTCAGTATCACAAAGTAAAATGAGTCACAGTCAAATCTCCATCACAGCTGGAGAAGATCCTCTGTTCTGTCTGGTGCTCCAGACTTTTTCTCCACCAAAACATCCATCTCCCATCCCACCATTCACCTGCTGTTGTTGGTACCTGTGCAGGTCCCATGCCCCACAGAGAGCCCAGTAGATGGCTGGGGTGGAACTGGCTCTGGTATGGGAGTTAGTGGTGATCTGAGCTACTCCAGCGTCAGACACAGTGACCACAGAGCTCTCCTCCCCTCACTGCCCACCATCTGACCCTGCTGGGTGCACTGGGCAGGCCCTGGTGGTTAGAAGTTCACGTGCCTGTTTCATCCTTTGTGTCCTGTGAGACAGGACAGTTAGGTTTATGTCTGGCCCTGTTTCCTGGCTTGGAGAGACATTGTCTGTGGGAGGGTAAAGTGACCAAGGTCTGCAAACACAGAAGCGTTGTCCATGTTCTCTGAGAACGTGGCTGGCAGACTCTTTCTTTGCATGACTTTTCTGTGTATGGTGTCATTCCTTTATGGCCACCTGTGCCCAGGTGTGGCTAAAGCTGTTTGGTGGGTGGTTAATTCGTTAAAGAAAGTAGCTCAGAGGAATGTGTGAGACACAGCAAGGGCCTGTTCTGAGTTGATTTAATCAGGTCAGGTGGCACGGTGCATACCAGGGGTAGCATATGCAGAAATACAATCCTTCATGCTCCTATTCCTGCAGGAATTCTGTGTCTTCCTGAATTAGTCCTTCCACCAGGGCTGCTTGTCAGAAGCCAGGGGGTTTGTTGGTGTTGTGCTGGCTGGGGGCTGCAGCTTCAGATGTTCTAGCAGGTGGAAGGTGTGCACAGGAATCTTGCTTCTGCTGTTAGTCACAACTTCTGCCTGTTGGGATGTTTCACCAGGAGCTGGAGGCTGCGTTCCAGCCAGACACGAGTTTGGTTTCTGTGATGACTGTGAACAATGAGATTGGAGTGAAGCAGCCAGTGCGGGACATCGGTGAGTGCCTGTGGTGCTTTGTGTTGTGTTTTCACAGCCATGTGCTGCTGGTGCAACCCATCAGGTGTGGTATCATGGAGGAATCAAAATGCTTAGTTTAAAAGGGAAATTAAATTTAAAAGGGATTAAATTCAGCACTTTTAGAGTGAGTATTGTAGCAATTCCAGCTTTGTAGTACAGATCTACAGGCTGCCCAGGGAGGAGCCACCATCCCTGCAGGGATTCAAGAAACATGTGGCACTTCAGGTCATGCTCTAGTGGCCATGGGGGGACTTGCGTTGTTGTTTGGTTGTGGGCTGTTTCTGTTTGTTGGGTTTTTTTGTGTTTGGCTTTTTTTTTTTTCCTCCTCCTGGATGTGCACTTGGACTCTGTGATCCTAAAGGTCTTTCCCAACTGTGATGATTCTGTGAATCATTGGGATCGTAACAACTGGATGAGCTAAGGTGGGGATTTTTGCTTTTGTGTTGTTGTTACAGGTGAGATCTGCCGTGCACGGAAGGTTTTCTTCCACACAGATGCTGCACAGGCCATTGGTAAAATTCCTATGGATGTCAACGACATGAAAATTGATCTCATGAGCATCAGTGGCCACAAAATTTATGGGCCAAAAGGTACTTGCTGAAGTGCTTTTCTAGAGAAATGTTGTTTCCATACACACCAGGTATGAAGTCAAACCCATCTGTCATAGTGACTGGTACTTAAACTGTAGGAAACGACACTAGTCTGTTGTTGGAGTGACTTTGGAGCAGTTCAGGCATGGCTGTGGTAAGAGTCTTCAGTCCTGGTGGGTTGTGAGGTGGCTTCACCAAAGGAAGAAACTGTTTTATAATGTTGGCAGCAGTGGGAGGGGTGAAGCAGGAACATTTGAAATGAAATCACTGGGTTCCAGGGCAAAGTTTAGATCCAAGAGTAACTTGCAGCAAGGCGATCAAAAGATAACTGGGAAGTTAAAATTCTTAGGGATTTTGGTTGTCTTCTGCTTCCAATGGCATCTCTCCCCAATCCCATTTGTGCATCTGCTTTGCAGAATGGTGTTTAAAATCCAGCCATGGATTTTCTAGTTGCCTCCCAAATAGCAAAAGTTCAGCTATTACCACATACACGGTCTGTTTAGTTTGTAAAACTGGATGTAGGACAGAAGTCAGATGTGCTGTCTTCCACATGCTGGTCAGAAAGAAAAAGCCAAATTTTAATGTTTTCAATGTATCTACTCTTTGTGTATGAGCTCTTCTGAGAGCTGAAGAGTCCTCTGGATGAGGACTAAGTTTTCAACCAATAACTTTGGGCAGATGACAAGGGTAAAGTTTTACAACTACTTAGATCAGAAGTTGCAGCCATTCCTGTGGTGACAGTCACTCCTCAGCTGAGCCAAGGCCCATGAAGATGTGGAAATGAGGTTTCTAGGTAAGGACACTAGAGAGTGAAATTGGCTGGCTGACAAAACCTGGCTCATCTCATCTGCCCTGGAAATTGGTGCCACTGATGAGTTGCTCTAATGAGAAGACAAGGAGAGGAGTCATGGAGCTGGTGCTGGCTTGGTGATCCAGGGAAAGGAGTGAAGTTGTTCTAGAGCTTTCAGTTGGAAGCCAGTAAGGGAACATCAGTGGATGAAATAGCTGCACATAAAGACTTCAGTGCTAAGGGGTGAACTTCAGCCATGCACAGGAGATGTGAGAAGGAAGGCAGGTCCTGAGTGCTCAGGTGACTGAAGCACACTAAGAGAAACTGAGCTGCTCCCATGGCCAGAGCTCTAGGACCCTGAAGGACAAGAATGGGAACACTGGAAACAAACACCATTTCCTCTAAAATACTGTGCTTCTGTATGTGTTTACTACACTTTTCACCATTGAGTGTCCAAATAAGCCTTTGCTGTGAAAACAAGAAATGTTTCCAAACCCTGGAGTCCCTTGTCATGTCCAGCATGGTGGGTGAACACTGAAACACCTTTCCTTGTTCTCAAGGGGTTGGTGCCATCTACGTTCGCCGTCGACCGCGCGTCAGGCTGGAGCCCCTGCAGAGTGGGGGAGGGCAGGAGAGGGGGCTGCGCTCGGGGACTGTGCCCACCCCTCTGGCTGTGGGCCTGGGGGCAGCCTGTGAAGTGGCACAGCAAGAGATGGAGGTACGTGGGAGAAGGTGTTTGGTCTGGACTCTTGGAAATAATACAACAGAATCACACAACAGGGCCTGCTGGGTCTTTGACTCCTTAGGTCTTTTTCTGTCCGTGTGCCTGAATGAAATTGAGTTCTCATGTTGTAACATTTATGTAAATGTTTTGAGATCTTCAAGGATGGTTTTGGGTAATTGGAATTTGTTTTTAGTCTTTCTTGAGGTTTTTTTTTTAAGTGGTTTGGATCATGGTTTTCTACTACTGGTTGTTAGTAGAAATATGCAGTGAAATATGGTTTGAAGTGCTTGACCCAGCTCTTCATTCTGCACACATGTATTATCAGCATCTCTCAAACAGAATAATCATGTTAATGTACTTTACTTTGAAAATAATAAGACTTCCTAACCCACTGTCAGACTGTCGAATGTGTACAAGTTCAGGTTTAATACATCTTTGAAGCTAAGAATTTTTTCCTAGCTTGGACAGTAGGGCTGACCTGATAGGTCAGGGGTCTGAGCCTCTCTCAGCTGCTCTCTGTGGGCATCAGTGCATTGCCTACAGCTGGAATGTAAAACCCCTTCAATATCGTGCCAGTGGGATGCATACGCCAGGTAGGATCAAGCTTCTGCCTGGGAGCCAGGCAGGGAACTGCCATCCCAGCATGGAAGTTGTGGAAGCTGTGTTAGGGGCCAGAGAGCTTGCAGGGCCTGGTTTCTGCACCAACCTCAGATCTGGATTCTCCTCCTTGCCTGGCAGTTGGCATTTCTACACCAAGTCATATCCGGGATGCGTTAGGGGCCAGAGAGCTTGCAGGGCCTGGGTTCTGCACCAACCTCAGATCTGGATTCTTTTCCTTGCCTGGCAGAGTTTTGGCATTTCTACACCAAGTCATATCTGGGATGGCCTTGCTTTCATCTAAGGATTTTTCAAGCCTCTAAACAAGCATGAATTGCATGTGTGTGTCTGGCTGTCTTTGTGCACTGGAACTGATACCATAGAATTCCAGACTGCATTGGGTTGGAGGGGACCTTAGTAATCACCAGTCTCACCCCCCTGCATGGGCAGGGACACCTCCCACCAGTCCAGGCTGCTCCAAGCCCCATCCACCCTGCCCTTCAACACTGCCAGGGATGGGGCAGCCACAGCTTCTCTGGGCAACCTGGGCCAGGGTCTCACCACCCTCACAGCAAAGAATTTCCTCCTCATGTCTCACCTAAATCTCCCTCTTCCAGTTTTAATCCATCCCCCCTTGTCCTCTCCCTCCCTGCCCTTGTCCCAAGTCCCTCCCCAGCTTTCCTGTAGGCCCTTCAGGTACTGGAAGGTGCTCTGAGTTCTCTTACTGTTTTTTTAGTATAAGCCACCTCATTTTTTTTAGTCTAGAACAAGACACTGCACATGGACATTTTTCACTGTATCGGTGATGTGTTGTAAAAACTGAGTTCACAGTAATTTGTGAGTCCATGTCTTTGTGCTGCACAGCTTGTAAGCTCCTGTGGAAAGTGGGGGCATGTGCCACAACAGATGCCCTTTTTTCTGTTGCAGAGCGTGTCATCTACTTACTAATTTGTCTTTGAACACAAAGAACTCAGTGCTGTTAGGAAAGGCAAGTTGGCAGCTTATATATATAGGTCTTTCTGGATGGTTTGGAATATTTTTGAAGGCTTGAGCCTATCTGGGACCAAAGTAGTTATTCTGTTAAGACAGCCTCTGGAGTAGGCCAAGTCTCACAGTGTCATTTCAAGTGTCAGGTGTGTTCTTTCCCCAGTCTAATCAAACCCAGCTACCTCAGTCTGCTTGTGGCTGGTAACTTGAAGCTGTTAAGAGTGAGGTCAAACAGTTCACTGCTGATTATTTTGGTCTCTTCTGGTTTCTCTACTAGTATGACCATAAGAGAATCTCACAACTGGCAGAACGACTGGTTACAAAAATAATGAGTGAAGTTCCTGATGTGGTTATGAATGGAGACAGAGAGCATCGCTATCCAGGTAATGTTGGGAGAGCCCTGAGCCTCTCAGGACTGTCCAGCTCACAGATCACAGAATGTCAGGGGTTGGGAGGGACCTCTGAAGATCATCTAGTCCAACCCCCCTGTCAGAGCAGGACCACAAAAACCAGGGCAGGTCACTCAGAAAGGCAACCAGATAGTTCTGGAAAGTCTCCAGAGAAGGAGACTCCACAGCCTCTCTGGGCAGCCTGTCCCAGGGCTCTGTCACCCTCACACCAAAGAAGTTCTTCCTCAAGTTGAGGTGGAACTTCCTGGGCTCCAGTTTGAATCCATTGCCCCTCATCCTGTCACAGGGCACAAGTGACAAGAGCTTGTCCTGCCTTCTTGATGCCCTCATGTATTGATAGACATTCATTAGATCTTCCCTCAGTCTTCTCCCCTCCAGACTGAGCAGCCCCAGGTCTCTCAGCCTTTCCTCATCAGGCAGGTGTTCCAGTCCCTTCATCATTCTTGTAGCTCCTCAGTGTTATTGGCTGTGACTGGATAATGCACTTCAGCTACACCTTGTGCAAGTGCTGCCCTGTGGGGTAGGATTTACCTCACATTTCAGTTGATGTAAGGGTTGTTTGTTTGTTTCTTTGTTTCTATTTAATTTGTTTTTGTGTAGGATGCATCAATTTATCCTTTGCATATGTGGAAGGGGAGAGTCTTCTGATGGCTCTGAAAGATGTGGCTCTGTCTTCAGGAAGGTAGGTGGAATGTGGGGAAGGATTGCAGTATATTTTGGAGAGAAAATACCATCTGTTAATGGAGGTGAAAACTAAGGAGTGATCTCCTCGGTGCCCTGTAGTTGCATGTTGGGTTAATGAGTCAGCCTGGCATTAATTGTGTTCTAAGCTGGTGCTTCACTGAAGTGGCACATTCCAAATGAAGGTCAAATTTACTCATCTCAAAAGAAAAAATCTACAACAACCCTAACAAAAATCAGAAAAAACAACCTAGAAATTCCAGCCTGCCAGCCTTGCAGACTGGTTACCTGTGATCTGAGTAGCCTTGACTTGTAACTGCTGGTGACTCTGATTCTAAACCTACCCAGCATTTCAGCAGTTTCTGCCCTTCTGCAGGTTTGCACAGGAGGGGCAGGTTGTGACTAGAATCTAGTGAGGCTGGATGAATCCTGGAATTAAATTAGCTCACAGTGCCTGTGTTTAATGCAAAACCAGAAAGAAAATGGAATACACTTTTACGGAGCTCTGTACAGAAGCAACCAGTAATGTTTCTGTTACTAAGGCAAACTTGATGCTTGTGATGAAGTTAATGGAGTGTAAAGATGCCCTTCTTTTCTCATATTTGGGAGTAAAATGGTCAGTGTTTCTTAACGAGAAATGTGTTGGCACAATGAATGGGAAGAACAAGTCTCCACATGACTGTCCCTGAAGCTGAGCACTTCTGTAGTGTGAAGATCTCTACTTTGTGCAGCAGAGCTGGATCAGCTCTGGGTTTGTGCTGCATGTTGCTACCTGTACAAATTGAGTAATGACATGTAACCAGTTTTGCCTCCTGCTTCGAGATGGAAGTTCTCTCTAGTGATTACTATAATTGGATCATCTTGCTCTGAGTTCCTCTTTGTGCTGTTTTTCATTGATTTCTTCTGCAGCCAAATAGCAACTTGTGAAGTCTTTTTTTTAATTCTTGGTGTTCCTGTTGGCATGTTTCCCTCTGGCTACTTCTCTCTTGGCTCCTTTTTCTTTTTTTCATGGCCTTCACTTATGCTACCTCTTAATCTGCATCCCCACAGCTTCTGTTTGCCATTGTGTTTATTCTTACTGCCTTACCTGTGCTCTGTCTTTTTACCTCATGCTCCTATTTTATTGTCCTTAACCCCCTCTGATTCCTGCCCCTTCCATTCTTTTCTTCAGCAGCAAAAATACCACTTGTCTGCTCGTGTTCCTTGGTGGTCTCTAAGAGGCTGGGGAACCTGCTATAGGTTGTATAGGGTCACAGTAACATGAGGTGTCTGTAGTGACCTCTTCTTTGTGGGAGGAGATCAGTGAGGTGTTAACTTCAGTGTAGCACCTGCACATCAGTGAAGCTCCTGCCTTCCCTTTCCCCAGTGCCTGCACGTCAGCTTCCCTGGAGCCTTCCTACGTCCTGCGCGCCATCGGGACGGACGAAGACTTGGCTCATCCAACCCCCCTGGCAGAGCAGGACCACAAAAACCAGGGCAGGTCACTCAGAAAGGCATCCAAACAGGTCTGGAAAGTCTCCAGAGAAGGAGACTCCACAGCCTCTCTGGGCAGCCTGTCCCAGGGCTCTGTCACCCTCACAGCAAAGAAGTTCTTCCTCAAGTTGAGGTGGAAATTCCTGGGCTCCAGTTTGAATCCATTGCTCCTCATCCTGTCACAGGGCACAAGTGACAAGAGCTTGTTCTGCCTTCTTGATGCCCTCATGTATTGATAGACATTCATTAGATCTTCCCTCAGTCTTCTCCCCTCCAGACTGAGCAGCCCCAGGTCTCTCAGCCTTTCCTCATCAGGCAGGTGTTCCAGTCCCTTCATCATTCTTGTAGCTCCTCAGTGTTATTGGCTGTGACTGGATAATGCACTTCAGCTACACCTTGTGCAAGTGCTGCCCTGTGGGGTAGGATTTACCTCACATTTCAGTTGATGTAAGGGTTGTTTGTTTGTTTCTTTGTTTCTATTTAATTTGTTTTTGTGTAGGATGCATCAATTTATCCTTTGCATATGTGGAAGGGGAGAGTCTTCTGATGGCTCTGAAAGATGTGGCTCTGTCTTCAGGAAGGTAGGTGGAATGTGGGGAAGGATTGCAGTATATTTTGGAAAGAAAATATAATCTGTTAATGGAGGTGAAAACTAAGGAGTCATCTCCTCTGTGCCCTGTAGTTGCATGTTGGGTTAATGAGTCAGCCTGGCATTAATTGTGTTCTAAGCTGGTGCTTCACTGAAGTGGCACATTCCAAATGAAGGTCAAATTTACTCATCTCAAAAGAAAAAATCTACAACAACCCTAACAAAAATCAGAAAAAACAACCTAGAAATTCCAGCCTGCCAGCCTTGCAGACTGGTTACCTGTGATTTGAGTAGCCTTGACTTGTAACTGCTGGTGACTCTGATTCTAAACCTACCCAGCATTTCAGCAGTTTCTGCCCTTCTGCAGGTTTGCACAGGAGGGGCAGGTTGTGACTAGAATCTAGTGAGGCTGGATGAATCCTGGAATTAAATTAGCTCACAGTGCCTGTGTTTAATGCAAAACCAGAAAGAAAATGGAATACACTTTTACGGAGCTCTGTACAGGAGCAACCAGTAATGTTTCTGTTACTAAGGCAAACTTGATGCTTGTGATGAAGTTAATGGAGTGTAAAGATGCCCTTCTTTTCTAATATTTGGGAGTAAAATGGTCAGTGTTTCTTAACGAGAAATGTGTTGGCACAATGAATGGGAAGAACAAGTCTCCACATGACTGTCCCTGAAGCTGAGCACTTCTGTAGTGTGAAGATCTCTACTTTGTGCAGCAGAGCTGGATCAGCTCTGGGTTTGTGCTGCATGTTGCTACCTGTACAAATTGAGTAACGACATGTAACCAGTTTTGCCTCCTGCTTCGAGATGGAAGTTCTCTCTAGTGATTACTATAATTGGATCATCTTGCTCTGAGTTCCTCTTTGTGCTGTTTTTCATTGATTTCTTCTGCAGCCAAATAGCAACTTGTGAAGTCTTTTTTTTTAATTCTTGGTGTTCCTGTTGGCATGTTTCCCTCTGGCTACTTCTCTCTTGGCTCCTTTTTCTTTTTTTCATGGCCTTCACTTATGCTACCTCTTAATCTGCATCCCCACAGCTTCTGTTTGCCATTGTGTTTATTCTTACTGCTTTACCTGTGCTCTGTCTTTTTACCTCATGCTCCTATTTTATTGTCCTTAACCCCCTCTGATTCCTGCCCCTTCCATTCTTTTCTTCAGCAGCAAAAATACCACTTGTCTGCTCGTGTTCCTTGGTGGTCTCTAAGAGGCTGGGGAACCTGCTATAGGTTGTATAGGGTCACAGTAACATGAGGTGTCTGTAGTGACCTCTTCTTTGTGGGAGGAGATCAGTGAGGTGTTAACTTCAGTGTAGCACCTGCACATCAGTGAAGCTCCTGCCTTCCCTTTCCCCAGTGCCTGCACGTCAGCTTCCCTGGAGCCTTCCTACGTCCTGCGCGCCATCGGGACGGACGAAGACTTGGCTCACTCCTCCATCAGGTCTGTGAACTGATCCTCCCTCGTGCTTCCAAATGCTTTTATTTTCTGCTGAAAGTAGGATTTGTTCCATGCCTCCGTACGCACGTTATTCTAGTGCTTTGTGGTTTTCTTTTGGTTCAGGTTTGGCATTGGTCGTTTCACTACAGAAGAAGAAGTGGATTATACGGTGCAGAAGTGCATCCAGCATGTTAAGAGGCTGAGAGAAATGAGGTGAGCCAGCTTCTCACTGGGTGTAAAGGCTTCTCAGGGATGCTAATCATTTGGAGTTGGATTTAGTTGAAAGCAATTGTTTGCTTTAAAAATCTGGCGGTGTCTTTGTATTGCCAGAGTGGGTGGTAGGCCTGATCTTCATACTCCTGACACGTTTTTAAGGAAACAAATCTGGTAACAAATCTCCCAGATCCTGCCCTTGTCTGGAAAAGAACACAAGTAGGGCAGTACCCACAAGTTTCTAAGCCAAAGACAGTGTTACTGAGTTTATGTATCAGTAAGTTGTTTTATTTTGGTGAAACTGAAAGCCTCTGACTCCCCTGGGCAGCGTCAGATGTGAGGGCTCAGTCCCTGAGACATCCTTGGTGCCCACAGTGGAGCAGGAAATGGGATGGAGCACCTGCCCCCTCTGCACTTGAGTTGTAGGCTGAGGACTGGTCCTGTGAAGCTCACTGACCTCCAGAAGGAGAAGGCAGGTGCAAGGGCATCTCCTAATATCTTGTGTAGATCAGGGGAGGTTTGGGTTGGGTGTCAGGAAAAGGTTTTTCACCCAGAGGGAGGTTGAGCACTGGAACCAGCTCCCCAGGGCAGTGGTCACAGCACGAACCCTGCCTGAGTTCAAGAAGCCTTTGGATGATGCTCTCAGGCACATGGGGTGATTCTTGGGGTGCCCTACACAGGGACAGGAGTTGGACTCATAGTTCTGATGGGTCCCTTCCAGCCCAGCAAATTCTATGATATTCTGTTATTTTAGATAACCCTCATTTTTCTCCTTTCTTCGATATTCTATGATTTTAGATAACCCTCATTTTTCTCCTTTCTTTACAGCCCCCTCTGGGAAATGGTGCAGGATGGAATCGACCTCAAAAGCATTAAATGGACTCAGCACTGAATAAACATCACTATCTAGGGACTAGATGTGGAAGAAAATGCATTTTCTGTGCATTCCTGAGCAAATTATGCAGCACTTCTGGTTTTTGACACTTGCAGTTTGACAGGAAAGCTATCCTTTCTGATCACAAAGTCTTAAGAAGCCAAAAATGAAAGTAGTGTCTATCCTGGAGAAAGACAGGATGGTGTCACACCCCTTACATTTGTATTTACCCCAGGAATTTGTGCTAAAGCATAATTTATTTGGAAATGTATTTTCTAATAAGAAAATTACATCAGTGTGTTAGTGATGGGCCAACCTGGAGATGGGTTGTTGTTTCTCAGGGTGAAAGACCCTGTGTGGCTGTTCTGGTTGCACACAGAGCTGTGGCCAGGCCTGTGCCTGAGGTGGGAATCCTGCAGCAGCAGCTGGGCTGGTGCTGCTCAGCTGTGTGTTGCAAGGAATTCTCAGCTGGGAAAAAGCCTTCTGGTGTTCCCAGAGGGAGAGGATGCTCCCAAGTGGCTTTGTGCCTTCACAGTTAAGTTGTATGTGCAGTTAAGAACACTTTAATAATTTTTTTTTTTCCTGAAACTGAAGGGGTTTTTTGCTCTTTTTCCTTGGTTTTATCTTTTTGGGTGATGCTTGTACAGAGCAGTGTGCACTAATCCAAAACATCGTTCTGCTTTGCAGAGTTTATGACACAGTGATGATGCACTTTGCTGTCCCCTCTGTTGTGTTTTTTCATGCAATTTTTTTTTTTAGTAAGGGAAGAAAACTTGAATGACTGGGGAGGGGAAGGGGCAGAAGAGGTCAGCTTCAGTTGCAGCACCAGCTCAGCTGGGACAGGAGTGGTGGAGGTGGTGGGGAGAGCAGAGCAGAGTGCAATGTCTTCATGCAGTCTGGGTTTTTTGTTGTTTCTTTTTTCCTCCTGTTGTGATGAGTCCTTTGCTGTTATTCAGGGTTCCCTGAGGGTCGTTGGCTTCTGTCACTTCAGGGGGTCTTGCCCACTTGAGCCTGAATGTTTTGTCTAGAGAGAAGAACACACGCTGGGAGTGACAGACTGTACTTCTGTCTGACCCTTCCCTGGAATGCTGGGGGAAAGTGTCTGTTGAAAAGGGTTTGATGAGATTAGTACACATCAGCATTTCTCCTTCCTTACCTTTGCTGATCTTTCCAGTAGGAGATTTAGCCCTGTATGACAAAGTGCCTTTGTTTTAGTTGCATAAGCAGACAGCTCTGATTGGTTTGTTGCTGCCTGGCTGCTGTGGTAGCTGCTGGATTTAACGTCTACTATGGACAGTAGGTCCTCAGCTCTGGGTGGTGTCTACCTCGAGGATCAACCATGTGATGTAAAAGCTGAAGCCAAGTCTCACAAGGTGGATTGTGTTACAGAAGCTTGTGCTTTCTTTTGTTTTTTTGTTACCAAGGTCAGATTTGGTTGTTTGTAATGCGAAGCTAATCCTCATTTGTACTGTTTGAAATTATTAGCTTTAGCAGTTTTAATATTGTAGAGCTGACACCTTGTGTTTCATCACAGCATTTTTCAAACTCTCATATGCATAAATAGGCTTTAGAGATGATGTGTGTCCTGTTTTACCCCTGGGCCATGTTTTCTGGATTAAGCATGTGATAACACTTCCCCAGCATGTTCTAGAACTCTGTTCATTAAATTGTTCTGTGTGTTTCATGAATTATTAGAAAAAATACAGATAAGACTTGAACTTGGCTACTTTCAGTCTTTTCAGATCCACCTCTGGCTGAACTGTGCAGCACAACCTGGAGTTGCTGCATCACAGCCTTTCATGAGAGAAGAGAGAAAGACATACTTTGCTGTGAACACTGGTAAAAGCTCTTTCTGGGTTAAAAACTGGCTGGATGACCAGGCCCAGGGGGTGATGGTGACTGGAGCTGCATCCAGCTGGTGTCCCCAGGACCAGTACTGGGACCAGTCCTGTTCAGCATCTTTATTAATGACCTGGATGTGGGCATTGAGTCCACCTTAGTAAGTTTGCAGATGACACCAAACTGGGGG